GTAGCACGAGACTTTCGCTATGCACTGTGCTTAGCCGGCAATGAAAACAATGTGATTCAAATCATCTCAAATAGGTTTGACTTTGCCAAGAAATGCGATTATATCACACTAAGGACATATATAATGATACTGCATACATCATGCGTTATCTGGTTGCGACATACCTCTGGATCTTCCCAATTTACCGCTTGCCCAGCCTCAGATGGATGCAAATTTCGATTGCGGCCCATTAGCTCATCGAGCATTTGTCTCGCAGCGTCCACCATTTTAGCTGTGTGTGTGCTATTTGTGTATTTGGGTGTGTGTGTATGTGTGTGGGTATACTGCTGCTACTGCTACTGCCGTTTCTGCTGACTGGCTTAAATCAGTTTGACAGTCGCAGGTGCTGTGCAAACGTTGTTGCTATTATTGTGCTAGTGTAGCGCGCCTTTATTAGACGTATTCCATGAAATTGACTCTATAAAATATACAGCTCATTTAGCCAACTCCGGGATCAATAATTCCCTAGTCAGCTCACACGCGTTAGCGATGGTAACATGAGGAACGACCCGCCGTCAAAAGGTCAATTATCACGATGTTGTACAATGCTGCCAGACTATTGCCCGTCGGCCATCACTGCGCGCCTAACTATCGATTAGCTTTTAATTTAAATCAAATTTTGGAAATAATAAATGGATAAGAGGCTAGTTTCATATAAATAAATATATATATATATGTCATATTATTATACTATACAGCTATTATTACGATCGATACAATCTCATGAGCCCATTTACTCAAAACGATAACTGAGTCTTGCAACGATCGATAATTCACACAAAGCTGCTGACAGCGCGAATTGTCAAAAAAGGCGCGAAAATTGGCACACAATAACACGCAGTAAATAGCATCAGAGTCGGTCGGCACACAGTTTTTGCGCGTTTCAGAGTTATTTGCTGTGAGAGAATTAAACGAAATGGATGTTGCGGATGCACAAATCGGACAGCTGCGCGTCAAAGATGAGGTTGGCATACGCACTCAAAAACTCTTCCAAGATTTTCTTGAGGAATTCAAAGAGGATGGAGAAATTAAATATGCTCGCCCTGCCGCCAATCTCGAGTCGCCCGATCGCTGCACTCTCGAAGTGAGCTTCGAAGATATGGAGAAATATAATCAGAATCTAGCTACTAGCATTATTGAGGAATATTATCATGTGTATCCGTTCCTCTGTCAAGCCGTCTCCAACTACGTGAAGGATCGTATTGGCCTAAAGACCAACAAAGATTGTTATGTGGCCTTCACGGAGGTGCCGACGCGTCATAAAGTGCGCGATCTGACCACTTCAAAGATTGGCACACTGATCCGCATCTCTGGACAAGTGGTACGCACACATCCCGTCCATCCGGAGCTTGTGTCCGGCACCTTCATGTGCCTCGATTGCCAAACGGAAATCCGGAATGTTGAGCAGCAATTCAAGTTTACCAATCCAACCATTTGTCGGAATCCCGTGTGTGCAAATCGTCGTCGTTTCATGCTGGACGTAGAGAAGTCTCTCTTCCTCGACTTTCAGAAGATTCGCATCCAGGAGACGCAGGCGGAACTGCCACGCGGTTGCATACCACGCGCAGTCGAGATCATATTGCGCTCCGAACTGGTGGAGACAGTGCAGGCTGGTGATCGTTACGATTTTACCGGCACCCTCATTGTGGTGCCGGATGTGAGCGTACTGAGCATGCCAGGCACCAGAGCCGAAATGGGCTCTCGCCATAAGCCTGGCGAGGGTGGTGACGGCATCACCGGACTCAAGGCTCTGGGTGTACGAGAGCTCAACTATCGCATGGCATTCCTTGCATGCAGCGTCCAAGCGACTACCGCACGGTTTGGTGGCACGGATCTGCCCATGTCCGAGGTGACGGCGGAGGACATGAAGAAGCAGATGACCGATGCCGAGTGGCAAAAGATCTATGAGATGTCAAAGGATCGTAATCTCTATCAGAATCTGATCAGCAGTCTTTTCCCCTCGATATATGGCAATGACGAAGTGAAGCGCGGCATACTCCTGCAGCTTTTCGGAGGCGTAGCCAAGACCACCACGGAGAAGACCTCACTGCGTGGCGACATTAACGTTTGCATTGTTGGCGATCCGAGCACAGCCAAATCACAGTTTCTTAAACAGGTCTCTGATTTCTCGCCACGTGCCATCTACACTTCCGGCAAGGCGTCCTCCGCAGCGGGTCTCACAGCCGCTGTGGTCCGGGACGAGGAGAGCTTCGATTTTGTGATTGAGGCTGGCGCCCTCATGTTGGCAGACAATGGAATCTGTTGCATTGATGAGTTCGACAAGATGGATGTGCGCGATCAGGTGGCCATACACGAGGCCATGGAACAGCAGACCATATCGATTGCACGCGCCGGTGTTCGGGCTACACTCAATGCACGCACCTCCATTCTGGCGGCTGCGAATCCCATCAATGGACGCTACGATCGTTCCAAGAGTCTGCAGCAGAATATTCAGCTGTCGGCTCCGATTATGTCGCGTTTCGATCTGTTCTTCATTTTGGTTGACGAGTGCAACGAGGTGGTGGACTACGCGATTGCACGCAAGATCGTGGATCTGCACTCGAACATCGAGGAGTCTGTGGAGCGGGCGTACACGCGAGAGGAGGTGCTGCGCTATGTGACCTTCGCTCGCCAATTCAAGCCGATCATTGGCATTGAGGCGGGCAAGATGCTCGTGGAGAACTATGGGCATTTGAGGCAACGCGACACTGGTTCCGCAGGCCGCAGCACTTGGCGGATAACCGTGCGTCAGCTGGAATCGATGATACGGCTGAGCGAGGCCATGGCCAAGCTGGAGTGCTCCAATCGAGTGCTTGAACGCCATGTCAAGGAGGCTTTCCGTTTGCTCAACAAATCTATCATTCGTGTCGAACAGCCGGACATTCACCTGGACGATGATGAGCCTCTAGATGCGGACGATGGCATAGAGCATGATATTGACATGGAGAACAATGGTGCGGCCGCCAATATGGATTCCGACGCATTGGATACCTCGAGCAGTGCTGTCCAAAAGAAGAAGTTCACACTGTCCTTTGAGGACTATAAGAATCTGTCCACCATGCTGGTGCTGCACATGCGTGCCGAGGAAGCGCGCTGCGAGGTCGAGGGCACAGATACGGGCATGAGGCGAAGCGATGTTGTCACCTGGTATCTGGAGCAGGTGGCCGAACAAATTGAGTCCGAGGATGAGCTCATATCAAGAAAGAACCTTATCGAGAAGCTAATCGATCGTCTCATCTATCACGATCAGGTCATCATACCTCTGAAAACCACCAGCCTAAAGCCCTTCTCCAAGAGCCCCAAAGCATCAGCTGGCGATGATGAGCTGGAAAACGATCCGCTCCTTGTGGTTCATCCCAATTACATAGTGGAGTAGTAAGCTCTAATAACTAGCCTGCTCTACAATCATTCTTGCATTTATTTCATTGCATTCATAGTTAAGTTTGTGCGTTTTTTTCTTCTTTACATTATATTTTCCATATTTACAGATGATTTGTCTAAAAAAATTGTTTTAGGTTAAGCTTCATCTATTTTTTAAGAATTCATTGTAAGAGTTGAATGTAATTTAAGATAATTTTCTTTTAAATGATATAAAACAACAATTATGTTTTATGTGTAAGCCGTAGAAGTTTCTAATCTTTTCAACCTTCATGCATTTAAACATAATTTTTTCAAATACTTCAAATTTTTTAGGTTTTTTTTCTTGATTAATGAATAAATATAGTTTCTTAACAAAAATATCCAAATTACCATCTATCGATATATTAACAATTTCTACTTGATACCAGTGTAAAGAGAGGCTCACGAACTGCATACAAAGGGCCCAGGACCAAGTCGTGAACCGAATTACAATACATCGATTTATTCACTTTGCAGCCCAGAATCTCGCCCGGTCTTGGCGTAAAAAATAACGGAACTGAAGACATTTCGATTGTTTCTTTTTTTTTTTAATTGTACATATGCGTTGGTAAATTGCCTAATTAATGACAAAGGCGGAGCAAAACAAAAAATAGAAAACTACACATAAAGCTTCCATCCGCCTTGGCATCCCTAACGTTCGAAGGTGTAGTGTTTGACGCCGTCAGCGGGATATTGCTTGGCAGCCACTGGCCGATACATTTTCTTGTCCTCGAGCCAGTAGTACAGGGCTAGGCATCCACCCATAACGCCAGCGAAGCACAACACGTAGTAGCTATTGCTGTAGCGGGGATAATCCGGCTGCGAGTAGCGATCCTCGCTGTACAAATCATGATCTGCTGAAATCTAACAAAAAAAAAAAAAATAATAATAATAATAATAACAATAATCAATGTTGTTTTGCTTGAACTAAACAAACTTACTGGCTCATTAAAATTGCGTTTGATCTCAGGATAGTCATATGGATAGTAGTTATCTTTATGCTCTACACCGAGGCCGCCGCCAACTTTTGGATAATCGCCATAGCCGAGGCCATTATCTGCGTAAGGTTTGTACTCTTCGGGCAGCAGATGATATTTCTTGGCAGCTGCCTCGCGTTCCTTCTCGGTTTTGGGATATGGTCCCGGCTTGTAGTCCTTATTCCAGCCGGCGACTGTTAATAGATAAATGCAATTGTTAAAAGCCCGTTCGCAGAAGTTACGTAAACAAAACAGAAACTTTAGCGAAATGCACTTACGATTGCGGACAATGTGGGCCTGCAGAGCTGGATTGGCAGCGCTTAGCTTTTTGACCAGAGATAGAGATTTCATTAACGCTGACATTGTGTAGGCAATGGCGTTATATGCTTCCCAATTTACAATTTATGCACAACAATTTTTTTGCTCGCCTCGCAGCAACTCGGCAGACGGCAGTCACAGCTGTTGCCTAGAGGTGAGCGATAACAATACTACATCTACTCACTACGATGAATATATTAATCGATATACACTCAGAAACGAAGCAATCGTCTATCGTACTTATTGTTATTGTTGTGTTGCGTGCCTGGTCCCCGCCAGTTGGAGAGCGAGTGAAATAAACGCGGCTTTATTCTGTTTGGCATTTGCTGTAATTAACTATTTAGACATAAATACTATAAAAATGGTGCTACCGCTTTTGCAACGCTCTACGCTTCGTGGCGTCCAACAGTTGACCAAGCCATGGGCGAGCGCAGCGTGCAGTCTTCGTATGGTAAGGAGATTTATCGTGGAGTGTGCGCGCTTATGTAATTTTGCATTTTATTTTTTGCCTGCACTGCCCATTTTGGCCAACTTTTAATGCCCGGGTGCAATGCTCAAGAGCATTGAGCGGGAAACAAACCTCTCTAAAATACACTCACGCTCACAAGCAAGCATTACAGTCTTTTCCAATTGGAATCATTGGTGTGTGGCAATTGCCGGCATTTCATAATCAAGTATACTATGCAAATGTGGGGTGATTATATTAAACGGCGCCCTGATAAGTAAAACATTGGTGGAGAAGGAGCTGCCAATGAATTAAAATCACCTTTTTAATTATGTATCTCCTTGACAAGAACTTCAACAAGTTGTTCAACAGTCCAACAAGATTCATGTGCACATTTAGTGTTTAGCCCAATAGTATATTGTGATTACTAACTGGAACTTAGTATGAGAGACTCCAACTAGAATTCAGCTTGCAATTTCGATTCGACTCATTCAATTAAAAATTTTGCTGCATATAATTCTGTAACTAGTTGGCATCGAACCATGAATAGGACTCTACGATTTTTTTTAATTTTGAAGACTTGGTATTGATACGTTATCAAAAGGCTGATATCTGATTAGCACCCTGATACAAATTTAATCTTATAAGATCCCATTAGCATAAAGCATTATTGCAGCTTGACACAATTGGTTTTCTATAGGGTATTTTTAAGTCAAGAATCATTTTTCATTTTATTGAATTCGATTTGGCACGCACTTAATATGTTTACATATATTTACTAGATTTCAAAAGCTTTGCTTTACATTTATACATACACACATTTAGATATGTGTGTATTACATATTCTGAAAACTCGATATGTCAGCTGTTTTAAGACACAAAAAATAAAGGCAATTGTTCAGGTTTTTCGATTTTGAAAACCTGTTCATTGTATTTAGTTGATGTTCTAATTGGAGCTCGATTGTCACATAACTGTGCGAACTCTATTTAGCCTACTAAATAGCATCCACTAACTACCGTTGCTTGTTAGCAGCGCCTTTGCTCTGCTCTAATCTCCCTCACTTTAATTGTTTTTTTTTTTACTCGATTGTCTTATATTTAGCACTTACTTGCGGCTTATGGCTTGTTTACATATAGCGGGTCTATAAACTATGAATCTCGTACACACACACACACATGTAAGCAGATTAGCTCTCAGTCGCACACATGTACACATACATACATACATACATACATACATACATACATAGGCAGGCAAACAGGCATAAATTGCGCTGAGCAGCCGAAAGCGCGCCCCGTGGGTCGCAATCCTGCATAAGCGCACTTTATATGCCCTACAGGAGTCGATTAATAATATTGAAAATCACTTGAGCAGAGCTATTTAATTTCAAATAAAGAATATCAATTAAAAATAACATTTTTGTATAAGATTTTTTCACATTTTTATTCATTTCAAGGAAAAGACACGCTCTCAGCTGTGTCGTTAAGTTCAGTTCAAGTTCAATTGAATGTGCAATTCATGAACCGTGCTCAATGAACAATTTAACTGCACATCCTTGCATAAATGAACTTATGCGTAAAACGATTAATCGAAATTAGCGAGCTGATTGTGCCAGCTCTTGTGTTCAATGAACATTTAAGTGAGTTATGCAAGGAATTCAACTGAAATTGACAAACCGTAGTGTAAGGCATCAGCGAATCATGCTGGCCCAACCCAAACTACACGCCTTACTTGCTGAGCTTGTTCTTGCTTTGATTTTTTGCCACCGTCCGCATTTTGCTGTTGTCGACTTATCTGATTCGCCAGTCATCCGACGGAGCCGCTGGCGAACGGAATCATTTAATTACGAGTAGCTAATTCAAGCATAATGGTCAGCCACCTGCTTAGTATTACATACATACATGTGCATATATATGTACGTACAGTTATGTATACCGCCTTATCTGTGTGTCCTTTCTCGTCGGCAGGCATCGCAGGAGTTTCGCGTGGAGAGCGACACGTTCGGCGAGCTGAAGGTGCCCGCTGATAAATACTATGGCGCCCAGACAATGCGCTCCCAGATCAACTTTCCCATTGGCGGACCCACCGAACGCATGCCGGCAAGTATTTAATTCAAAATTACTTGACCTCTAATTTGTAGAGTTATTGTGCGCTCGCCACAGAAACCCGTTGTCCAGGCCATGGGCATCTTAAAGAAGGCCGCTGCGGAGGTCAACAAGGAGTTCGGCCTTGACGTCAAGGTTAGCGAGGCCATCTCGAAGGCCGCCGATGACGTTATCTCCGGCAAGCTGTACGACGATCACTTTCCCCTAGTCATCTGGCAGACAGGCTCCGGCACCCAGAGCAACATGAATGTGAACGAGGTATGTCCACTTATTATGAATCTAGTGTTCCCAGCTTAACCGTTTGATTATTCGCTCGTCAGGTCATCAGCAATCGCGCCATTGAGTTGATGGGCGGCAAGCTGGGCTCCAAGACGCCCGTGCACCCGAACGATCATGTGAACAAGTCGCAGAGCTCCAACGATACCTTCCCCACGGCCATTCACATCTCGGTCGCCCTGGAGTTGAACAACAATCTGAAGCCGGCGATCAAGACGCTGCACGATGCGTTGGCCGCCAAGTCCAATGAGTTCAAGGACATCATCAAGATTGGCCGCACCCACACCATGGACGCTGTTCCCCTGACCCTGGGCCAGGAATTCAGCGGCTATGCCCAGCAGCTGGCCTACGCTCTGGAACGTATCGATGCCTGCCTGCCCCGTGTCTACGAGCTGGCTTTGGGCGGCACGGCCGTCGGCACCGGCCTGAACACGCGCAAGGGCTTCGCCGAGAAGTGCGCCGCCAAAATAGCCCAGCTGACGGGCCTGCCCTTTGTCACTGCCCCCAACAAGTTCGAGGCTCTAGCTGCACGCGATGCCATGGTCGAGGTGCACGGTGTACTGAACACCATTGCTGTCAGCCTCATGAAGATCGGCAACGATATCAGATTCCTGGGTTCGGGACCGCGTTGCGGCTTGGGTGAGCTCTCACTGCCAGAGAACGAGCCAGGCAGCTCCATCATGCCAGGCAAGGTGAATCCCACACAGTGTGAATCCCTGACCATGCTCGCCGCTCAGGTGATGGGCAACCAGGTGGCCGTCACTATCGGCGGTGCTAATGGACACTTCGAACTGAACGTGTTCAAGCCACTGATTGTCTCCAATGTGCTGCGCTCCATTCGTCTGCTCTGTAAGTAGAGGCCTAAGTATAGTCCCAAGCAGCTCTCATCCAATTTTTGTTCGTTTTCATCTTGCAGCCGATGGCAGTCGAACCTTCACGGCCAACTGTGTGAACGGCATAAAGGCCAACAAGGAGAACATTGCCAAGATCATGAACGAGTCGCTGATGCTGGTAACGGCGCTCAATCCCCACATTGGCTACGACAAGGCGGCCAAGATTGCGAAGACGGCACACAAGAACGGAACGACACTGAAGGAGGAGGCCATCAATCTGGGCTACCTGACGGAACAGCAGTTCAATGACTGGGTGCGACCAGAGGAGATGCTGGGACCCAAATAGACATTGCTTTATACCCATTTAGAGCTAAGCGTAAAGTCGACCTTGCGTTAGCTGTCAGAATGTATTTGGAAGCTAGACGGCATGCGTGTGTCCGAATTGTTCAGTCTCACTCCGAAAATTCAATAAAAATCATAATTTTTTCGTCTTGAACATAAACTTTATGAAAAGAAACGAATAGATTTTTCATTTGAATTCTTATCAAAATTATCAATCGAAAGACTTGGTCAAAATGTTTTGCAAAAAGCGTACACTATTGTGTCCGCCGCACCTGGTCCTGAAGAGCTGGCATCATCATTTGGCAACGACGCTCTCGCTACAAAATCAAAAGAAATCAAAGGGCGTAAGTTGTAACCGCTGCTGTGCTGTGCAGTTTCTATTGCCTAGCCTGACCTCACCATCCTTTTGCAGGATGAAAAGTTTCGCGTGGAGAAGGACACCTTTGGCGAGCTGAAAGTGCCAGCTGATCGGCTCTATGGCGCCCAGACTATGCGCTCCGTGCTCAATTTTCCGATTGGCAGCATTGGCGAACGTATGCCGGTAATTATGTCTCCCTCTCTGCCCCTCTGACAATGTTACAATCAACTCTCCGTGATCTGTCCAACAGAAACCCGTTGTTCAGGCCATGGGCATTTTGAAGAAGGCCTGCGCCAATGTCAATAAAGAGTTCGGCATGGACGCCAACATTGCAGACGCTGTGTCGTGTGCCTGTGACGAGGTCATCTCTGGGGAGTACTACACCAAGGGACATTTCCCGTTGGTCATCTGGCAGACGGGCTCCGGCACACAGACGAACATGAACACCAACGAGGTGATTAGCAATGCAGCCATTAAGGCAATGGGCGGCGAATTGGGCTCCAAGAAACCCGTGCATCCCAACGATCATGTGAACAAATCACAGAGCTCCAACGATACCTTTCCGGCTGCGTCGCACATCTCGGTCGCTTTGGAGCTCAATAGGCGTCTCATACCAGCCATTTCGTATCTGCGGGATGCACTGCATTGCAAGGCAGTGGAGTACAAGGATATCATTAAGATCGGTCGCACCCATCTGATGGACGCCGTACCTATGACTCTGGGCCAGGAGTTTAGTGGCTATGCCCAGCAGCTGACGAATGGGCTGGCACGCATTGATGCGTGTCTGCCGCGTGTCTATGAGCTAGCCCTGGGCGGCACGGCCGTGGGCACCGGACTAAACACCCCCAAGGGCTTTGCAGAGAAGGTATCGGCGCGCATCGCCGAGCTGACAAAACTGCCCTTTGTCACAGCGCCGAATTTCTTTGAAGCTCTCGCAGCACGCGATGCCATGGTCGAAGTACACGGCGCACTGAACACCATTGCTGTCAGCCTCATGAAGATTGCCAACGATATAAGATTCTTAGGTTCGGGACCGCGCTGCGGCTTGGGTGAGCTGTCACTGCCAGAGAATGAACCAGGCAGCTCCATCATGCCGGGCAAGGTGAATCCCACACAGTGCGAATCATTGACAATGATTTGCGCACAGGTAATGGGTAACCAGGTAGCGGTAACAGTAGGGGGAGCCTTTGGACACTTTGAGTTGAACGTATTTAAGCCTTTAATTGTGTCCAATGTACTACGCTCCATACGCTTGCTCGGTGAGTAGCCAGGTGAAGGTAATCATCGGCAAACAATTGTAATACTTTCATTTTGCAGCGGATGGTGGCGTCAATTTTAGCAAGAACTGTGTGGAGGGTATTGAGCCAAATCACGAGCGCATTGCCAAGATCATGAATGAGTCTCTTATGCTGGTAACGGCTCTTAATCCCCATATAGGGTATGACAAGGCCGCCTCAATTGCCAAGACGGCGCATAAAAATGGTACCACACTTAAACAGGAGGCTATCAAGGCTGGCATCACCGAGGAACAATTTAAGGAATGGGTAGACCCAAAAAAGATGCTGGGTCCCAAATAACTATCACCTTTTGTATCGAGTACTTTTTTAAATGCATGATTTGAATAAAATATCTGACTGAACATATCGATTCTGGAGCGTATCATTTCGTATAGTATGTAGCTATCGAATAGGTATATTTTAATATTTTTTATCGATGATATTTTAGTACGGCTCTGTGCAACAAATCGACAGCTGTTTGTGTTTGTGAACTTCGTCTTGTTATTATTATAAAAATTAACCAAAACTCGAAGTCTAGTGCGAAAACAAATTATATATTTTGGCTCTTTTTTTATTCGTGTAGTTTAACGTTTCGCAGCTCTATATATATGGGCTGTAGGTCAAATCATTCGATGGTGTATGTGATTATCTAATTTGCAAACCGCAAAGCAGCAACAATTAATAATATCGATGTTTAACAAAATTTTAACAAGTAAAGGTATATAAATAGAAGCAAAACAAATACATACAAACAGTCCGACATGACTACGATCGTCTAGTGACAAGAAAAGCAATCAACAAGTCGAATTAAATTTTAACAAATTATCCGTTTCCGACCGTAGAACAAAATCGAAACTTCCATACACATTGTAGAAAAAAATATTGAGAACAGGCTTAAGAACATTTTAATTTGGATACCATAACCATTTGACTGTGTAGATATGTGCATACGTATATATTTCTAACCAAAAAAATAATATAAATAAAGAACAAAAACAGCAGTGTCGGCATCTATTTCTACGACGCAATACCAAAAAAAGGAAGCAATCGTCAGCAGAGGCAGCCAACGATCGATATATCGATAGCTGGCGATCATACCTGAAACGCATGACAAAAGGTGGCGCCGCAGTCGTAAACAGCGACAAGGACAACAAAAGCGCATCGCGAATATTATTAAAAGGTGAGCTCATTGAGAACTTACAAAATAATACAATAACTATTTATCTCTTTTACTCTACAGTCTTTTCGCTCCGTGACTGTCGCCAGTGCGGTGTTGTTGTTTTGTCGGATTAACAACAACAACAGCCACAATAAGACCGAACTGCTGTTGGTAAAATGTCTGTAAGACTGTTAACCGTGCGACTGGTCAAACATGGTCGCTACGTTTTGCGCAGCTATTGGAATCGTGAAATACACTCCAACATTTTGGAACAAAGCCAGTTAAAGACACGCAGCAAGCGAGGCTTTCCCCTATCATCCGTCAATGTTTTGCGGGTGAGTATGGCACAATATAGTGGTTGATCTGTTTATATTGTTGCCCCTATGCATCTCCTTATGTGCATAGCTGCACTGCAACGAGCGAGATAGCAAGAGAGATAAAAGTCATGTATAATTTATGCTAGAGATGACATTTGCCAATGCAAAGCAATAATCCATATAGTGCATATGTTTGTTAGTGAAACAGCATACTGAGTTCAAGTGTAAACAAACAACACTGCAAAGAGCGAGACAGAAATATAGATGAGCGAGAATTTGGACTCCTTGAATGATATTAAGTAAAAGAAATTCTTGTTGCATTGAATGCTATAATTGCTCTACAGATGTCATCCTAGCATAATTTGATCGTTTTTATAAATTTTTTGGTTTGATTGTTGTATATTATTTATCTTTTTTCTTCCATTTCATTGCTGCTTAGAACTCAGCCGCGCCACAGCCGACGGTAAATGTTGTGCCACGATGCAATCCGGCGTCCAGCGCGACGTCCAGTCCAGCGACCAGCGGACTCTTTCGCTTTGGCCAGCATGCACGCAAGCTGTTCATTGATAATATACTGAGTCGAGTGACCACCAACTACTCTGAAGAGCTGCGTCAGCGTGCGACACGTAAACTATTCTATGGCGATTCGGCACCATTTTTTGCCCTAATTGGCGTCAGTTTGGCCACCGGCTCGGGTGTGCTGAGCAAAGAGGATGAACTGGAGGGCGTTTGCTGGGAGATACGCGAGGCAGCTAGCCGCTTGCAGGCAGATTGGAATCGTGATGAGATATCCGAGACGTTGACCAGCAATTTCAATATCGATCAACTGGAGGTGGGTCCGCCCATAGCCAAAGGCTGTGCCGCTGTTGTTTATGCGGCCAACTTCAAGGAGACTCCCGTTACCCAGCAGAGCCCCAATACGTCCAGTGATACAACAGCGCGTCCCACTGTGACCAAAGCAATGCCAACCCCCCCGAGCTCCAGCTCGACATGGAATCATGAATTGATGTCACCGCTACAGAATATGTCCCGTTTCGTTCACAATTTCGGCGGCTCCGTTGACAACATTTACAACTACAGTCAGCCAAGTGCTGCTGCAGCCTTTGTAGATGGTCAGACTCAGATGTCAATGCAGCAACAAGAGGAGCAACAGCAACAGTCGCAGCAGCAGCAGCAGCAGCCGCTGTCATCTGCTTACAGTCAGCCACAACAACCACAACAGCAACAACAAACTCATGCAGAAAACGAATCCATTGAGCGATATCCCCTTGCCTTGAAGATGATGTTCAATTATGACATACAAAGCAACGCCTTATCCATACTGCGCGCCATGTATAAGGAGACGGTGCCGGCACGTCAGCGTCGCATGAACGCCAGCGCCGAGGAATGGGAGAGGCTGTTGCAGCATCAGACGGTTACGCTGCCACCGCATCCGAATGTCGTCTGTATGTTCGGTTTCTTTTGTGATGAGGTTCGCAACTTCCCCGACGGCCATTTACTGTATCCAATTGCGCAGCCGCAGCGCATCAATCCGCAGGGCTATGGCCGGAATATGTCGCTCTATTTGCTAATGAAGCGCTACGATTATAGCCTGCGCGGCCTTCTGGACACCACTGAGCTGAGCACGCGCACCAAAATCCTGCTGTTGGCCCAAATGCTGGAGGCCGTCACACATCTCAGTCGCCATGGCGTCGCCCATCGTGATCTTAAGTCCGACAATGTCCTAATCGAGCTGCAATCATCGTCGCCCCATGATCAGTCTGCATCATCAGCAGCGCCACTCCTGGTGCTATCCGATTTCGGCTGCTGCCTGGCAGACAAAGTGCATGGACTGCGTTTGCCCTATGCAGCCAACGATATAGACAAGGGTGGCAATGCGGCGCTGATGGCGCCTGAGATCTTCAACACGCAGCCGGGACCGTTCGCCGTGCTCAACTACAGCAAGGCCGATTTGTGGGCGTGCGGCGCCCTAGCCTACGAGATCTTTGGCCAACCCAATCCCTTCTATTCGGCCAGCGCTGGCATGGCTCGCGCCCAGGGTGAGCTCACGTATTCGCTTCGGAATAGCGACTATCGACATGAGCAGCTGCCGCCACTGTGCGATGCCTGCCCGCCGCTTGTACAACAGCTCGTCTACAATATACTTAATCCAAATCCGTCGAAACGCGTCAGTCCCGACATAGCGGCAAACGTGATGCAACTGTTTCTCTGGGCGCCATCCAAGTGGCTCAAGGCGGGCGGCATGCCCAGCAGCCCTGAGGTGAGCAATTCCTTAGCCATCATCATTCCCAATGCTCACAACTTTATTTCTCTGTAGATCCTTCAGTGGCTTCTCTCCCTGACCACCAAGATCATGTGCGAGGGTCGTCCACAGAATGGCAACAGGAGCAGCAGCAGCAAAGCCCCGTCCAGCGGTCGACATGCCTATGTAGAGTATTTGCTTATCTGCAGCTTTCTAGTGCGTGCGCGACTGCGTCGCATTCGTGGCGCTCTCAATTGGATACAAAATGTAGTCGCTGCGTAAATCGTCGGCGCTCGATTTATACGGTAGAATGGACATATTTATTGAAAAGGAACGTTGTTTACATCTTGTTATTCGCCGCGAGGTGAACGAAAAATCAAAAGAAAAATGAAAAAATAGATAAAGCGTGTGATACCTAATATACATATATATATGCATATTGTTATGTGTATATATATAGATATATATATATATGCTTATATACATACATATTTTATAAAAATTACAAAATTAGCCGCATATAAAAAGAGGATGTTTTTTATTTTTTAATTTACATTAATGTAACTACTAATATGGTACATAAACGGTGTTATACATATTTGACGAAGAATGTAACTTCGTATCCTCCTCGTTAAGCTACATAAATCTCTAATTGGGTTAAATTAACAAAGATGGCATGTGGCCAAGAAGATGATCAGTCCGAGGATATCCTGTGTTTTGTCCAGATGATTTTTGATATTAACGAAGTTCGGGTGTTCCGGAGAGATCTGCTCGAGCGAGATTTTTGAATTGCGTATCTCGATCACGATAAAAGTGCCCTTGCTGAAATCGATGCTAAACAATGTCCTGAATGGATTGAACAGCTGGACGACGTTGCAGCCGAGATGGCAAAGCTTTTTAGTTAGTACATCCATGTAGATCTCCCAATATTTATCGTCTAAAGTAAATAAATTGCATTAAGATACATACATGTATATAATAAAGAAATAGGTATATCGCACCAATATATTTGACTTCGGCTTCTGATTGCATTTGATTAATTGAGACAATTGACAATTCATTTATTTCCTTCTCGATGTCATCTGGCTCCGTGTTGTTAGAATACATCTGCATTTCAACTTCTTGCATTGCTTTTGTGATTTCAACAAGCGCCTTATCCAACTTATAAAGTTCTTTTTCGACTTTTCCCATGATTTCAACAGTCATTTTGAAGAGAACTAAATTGAACAGTAAAGGCAAACGCGCTGCTTTTGAGTGAAAGAAAAAAAACAAAACCGATAGCTTCCAATGTCAAACGGATTTATCGAGTCGGTATTTTTCGAATATTCATTCAAAGGAAATTGTAAAATAACGTAATAGTCGTAATGGCAAGTAGGATATGCGATTATTGACATTTTGTTGACAAATAAATCAAATGTCACTATTATTATCTTGCCTAGTTACTTACTCTGACATTTCACTAAACTGTTCTTATAAAAAATTAACCAAAGTCGTAAAAATAATAGCGAATGAAGTTCGCCAAGTTCGCCAAGTAACATTTAAGTAAGGATATAAAGTCATTTTAAGTTGTTTCACTAAAAATTTTAAAACAAAATAAAAAAATACCATACATATATATTAAAATTAAATTAAACATATTTATCATCGCATTCTGTGCAGAGGATGCCATCGAATAATCGTCGATAGTTTTTGTAAGGATAATTTATGTCTTTCGATTAGAAAGTTTCTAAACATTAATTTATGTCTAACGTGCACTAACATACTAACACAATCACAAATAAAATTTGTTTTATTAATATGTGTATGTATGTATAATCACACATAACATTTGGTATAAGGAGTCCCAGTTTCAGGAGTCTTGGAAAACTGACAGTTGATCAGGTTTAATTTAAAACTGTTGATAAATGACTTGTATTTAATCTTTAAATGCATTCATAAATAACATTAATTACGTATCAAATTTGGTGTCAAGTTTGCTTACACACAGTTTATGGTCGTAAAAGGAGCAGGTGGCCATATGCAGGCTGTGAGTGTAGTAATCCGATAATTCAAACTTATCGATATTTGGCGCCCAGTCGGCACCATAACAAATGCTCGAATGCTCCTCATAGCTGCCCAGGAGACTTACCGCCCCTTCCTTCAATTGCACGACACTAAAGTTGGTATACATGCATGCAGTCAGGATTAGATCGGACCGCTGTGGATGAGGCTTGAGCCGCCAAATCCCACCATTTAGATTCAGTTCAGCCAGGCTGCGTTTCATTGCCCGCGTATCGAAGACACGCAACAGCTCATCGTAGCTGCCGGTGAGCAGCTGATGTTCGTTTTGTGGATGGCTGAGCAGACACGTGACACCAGCGCCGTGCGCTCTATTTGTCCAGATGCGCTGCGGCTGCTCCTCGGTGCCGCTGCGCAAGTCGTAGGCATTCAGCAAACAGTCGTCGCCGCCGCTATACACACGGTGCGGATTCCAGCGGTCAAAGGCGCATGTCCACGCCTCAAAGCCGTGCGCATGCCAGGAGCAGACCTTACACAATTGATGCTTTGCCGTATACTGCAGCTGATGGACATTGCCCAGCGAATCGGAGATAAGCAGTTGCAAGGCACTAGCCCCATCAGCATCTGCATCCGCACGTTGCCAATCGAGGGAGAGTGCCAGTGCCTTTGGCGCATTCAGCGTCGATTCTTCGAGGGCCAACTTGGCCCGTGACTGCAGTCGCTTCTCTGCGTGTAACAGCTCGTAGATCTCCACCTCACCCAGGGCATTCACTGTGGCCAGCAGCGGACCAGTGTCACAGCTCCAAGCTGGCAGCCACTTCATGTCCAATATGGCCGCCGTTTCGATGCACTGCAGCCGTTCCAGCGCGTCATTTCCTCTGTCGAAGGTAAACAAATAGATTCGACCCTTGCGTGGCCGTTGGCCCTCAGCTGCAGCTGGTGCTGTGCTGTTTTGCTCGGCCTCCACCAGCTGATAGGTGCCGCAAGCAAAGTATTTGTTATGTGTCTCATCCTGTGTACACCATTCCACCGAATCAGCCGAATATTCGGTGTCCACGTTGTGCAGTGTCGTAAACTGCATGGCTGCCAAAATAAAAACAAAAGGAAAAACGCACTCTGGTCACACTGCAGCACAGCGATTGACTTAAGTTGTTATCGATAGGCGCCATGTTCTTATTGCTCTTATTAGATTTATTTTGTTTTCCGCTACTTTAGAAAATTAATACGTACTTTCTACTTAGTGCTCGTTTCATGTTATGGGCTACAAATCATTATGAATTATTTAGGCTTAGTTGTTCACTTTGTTTGCTTATTACATTACATACAAAAAAATGGGATTAGGCGGCCATTCAACAAAGACCGTTACACTTTCAAAAATGTTTACACTTTCTAAGACCTATTTTATATGCAAATACATGGATTTCTCATGAGTTTTTTTTTTTTTTTTTCGTTTGTGTAGGTTTCTTATTTTTCCTTTTTAGCTGCATAATTATATATATATGTATAGTTAGAGTGCACGTGTGTGTGATTGTTGTTGTTTTGTTTGTTTGTTTTATTTGTGTGTCGGTGCGTTTCGTTACATTTTCCATCTAATCTTTTTTTCTCATCTCACACACGATATTGATGCTTTGTGTTTTTGGTTAGCCATGGACATATCTGATGGCATCTCTAATTGCTTTATACATATTAAGATGTATGTACAATGCACTTATTGCACTCTCGCTTCTCTCTTACACTTTTTCTCTCTGTTTCTCTCTAAAAGCTATTGCACTAACGTATCCTTAAGCTACGAATGTAAGTTTAAACATTTAAAATTTCATTCCAAAAAAGTTACAAATTGTATATATATGCATATATATGTATATATATATAGTTAGTTGTGTATATATATGTTTGTGTGTGGGTGTGGGTGTGTTAGTTTAGCATTTAAATATAGAACGCGCGCCTTAAGGATATCCTTTGTTTCTCTTGTTCGCTATCTGTTTCTTTCGTTCGGTTTCACTTTGTACAAACGCGTTCAACAATACATACGAAGTATATGTTATATATACGTGTTTATATATATATATATAGCTACAAGAAATGTGCGGGTGTGTATGTGAAGGGTGGGGGAGAGGCTTGGTTAGAGGGGTGGGGGCATGGCTGACCAGATGACATATTTGTGTGTATATGTGTGTGTTCGTTGTCAACAACAATTTCTGCACGCTGCAGCGCCAACAATAGCCGAAATTATAGCTAGATTTATATATAAAATTATATATATAGCTGACATACATACATACATACATACATAGATAACTACACCACATATATATATATATAAATATACATATCTAGCACTTGGTCAGCTCATTTTGGCGCTTTCGCGATACTCATTTGGTTTTCATAACAATTATTGGTTCGAGTATCTTTAGCATATCATTATTCTCAGGCGCGCCCGCTCCGTTGCCTCCTGCTCCGCCGGCAGCGCTGCTCGCACTGGTCGCCGTTGCCGCCTGCAGCTTGCTGTAGCTCTGCTGATGCTGATTGAGGCTGACCAGACGCTGCTGCTGCTGCTGCTGCTGTTGCTGATTGATGACGATTGCCTCGTGATGTGGCTGCTGCAGGAGGCTGCCCGTCATCTGATGTAGCTCGTGTTGCTGCTGCTGTTGTTGCTGTTGCTGCTGTTGTTGTTGCTGCTGCTGCTGTTGCTGCTGCAATTGTTGAAGCTGCTTGTCCTGATCATCGGCATCGCCATCATCCATCTGCGAGTCCGATTTCAGCACAAAGCTATCTCCGCCATCTGTATCGTTGTCGTACATCTGCTCCGCCGTATCATCCTCCGTCTTGCCATGGAACTCGGCGCTGGCGCTGCTGCTGGTGCGCGGCGTATGGCTGCGCATGCGCCGTAGTCGAGCATATTCCGCCTGCTTGGACAGCCGCTCCTTGCGCTCCTCATTGTTCTCGGTCGCACGGATCTGGGCACGCTTGAGGCGCGCCCGTTCGCTCAGCTTCTGCAGGCGCACCGCCCGTTGCTCGGGCGATTCATTCGCACGCACCGCACGCTGATGCGCCGCCATTTTGTCCAGCCGAATGCGCTTCTCCTCCTCCGTCTCGTATTTGTTGGCGCCGCTGCGTCGCGGCGTGGCAGAGCCATCCCCATCTGCCGTGGAATGTGCATGATGTAAATGATGATGGCTTTGATGCAACGGCGGACGTCCGCGTCGTCCGCTTCCAATGCCCGAGCCCAAATGCGGTGCGGAGAGCATCTGATTCAACTCCTGCTCCAGCAGCGTGTTCGCCTTCAGATGATCCTCGCTGGTCAACAGGCTAATCTTACGTGGACGACCTCGACCCATTTTTGGGAATTCGTGCAGCAGTTGCTGTTGCTGCTGCTGCTGCTGCTGTTGTTGCTGCTGCTGTTGCTGTTGTTGTTGCTGCTGCTGTTGTTGCTGCTGCTGCTGCTGTTGCTGCTGCGGATCCTGCTGCTGCTGCTGCTGGCCCAGTCCGGTGACAGTTAGCGTAGGATTCGCACCGGTGGGCGTCGTCAGTATATTGTATTGTCCCGGCGCCGTTGGACTGCTCCCGCCGCTGGCATTGGCGAAATGCACAGGTGTAAACGGCGGCGGCACCGTATTCGGCCCGATGCCCAGCTGGAAGCCATTCGGATACATAGGATAGTAAGCAGTGGCACTGGCTGCCGCCGATCCATTGGCCGCACCGGCCGCACCACCTCCGCCGCCCGCCACCGTCACAGTGCCGCTGGCGCCGCTGCTATTGGCCGTCGCTGGAAATGTGGCCAAATAGGGCAGCTGATTGTAGAGCTGGGTTCCGGTTGTGGTTGAGGTCGTTGCTGCCGCTGCTGCTGCGGCGGCTGCGGCTGCAGCGGCCGCTGCTGAGCCAGGTTTGAGCACCTTCTGCTGCTGCTGCTGCTGCTGCTGCTCGGCGGCGGCCACAATCACCTTGGCCTCGTTCTGACCCAGTGTAACAGACCCGCTGTTATCGTTCGCCTCGCCAGACTGCAACAGAAATGTTTATCGGTTTTTCAGGTTATGTGCGGCAAGTGAGGTTATGTTGAAGATGTGCTCTAAAGACAAAAAAAAAACTGTTTTCTCTCCCTCTCTCACTTCCCTATGATATTCTTCCTCTATCTCTCTCTCTCTATATCTAGTTATATAAAGTCATACAATCATTAGTTCAAATGAATTTCTTGCTCCTGACAAACATTTTCAATAAGTATCCATTTTTAAGGTTATGTGAAACCATCTTTACGACTTAGAAGGACCATATCTACAGTTGTATATCTCCATTTAACATTTTAGTGTGAGGGAAACTGCTAGACAAACATTCAAACAGACAGAGGTAAAGAAAATAGTATCTAGTTTTTTTTTTTCTAGTTTTCTTTCCGGAATGAATTGCAGACACATATGGCATACATTTTGTGAACAATATACAGATTTGAGCTTTAATCGGCTTTTGGAGTTTTTTGTTTTTCGTTTCTTGTTTTTATATACAAAAGAATTTGATATATATACATTATAGTTAAATATTGTATAGAGTTTAAGTTTTACTTCTTCCATTCCATATCTGTTATGTACAGTAAAAGCTCCAATAACGAACTCGCATATAAAAACTACAATAATACTCCCTGTTTCAATATGTTATAAAAGGAATTTAAAAAGAAATAAATTTTTTTTTTTTTTTTTTTGCTCCAATATGTTGTTTAAAAAAATCTATATATACAAAATATTAAACCCTTTTACGCTGTACAATCAATGTATATTCCGATCGTAGCTATTTATCTTCAATTGAATTCAAGGCAAAAAAAAAGTCTAATATTTCAAAACATGAAAGACGCACATAAAATTTGGACTCTGTCCTAACAACAACAAAAAATTAATAAATAAACTACGGCAAATACATATATGAAAGCTTGCAGAAATATACATGTAAATATTTTTGCCTGAAAGTTTTAGGCGAACAGAGCTCCACATTTTTTCCTGCCTCATTGTTTCTCTTCTCTTTTGTGTTACTAAGTGAAACCAAATGCAATGAAACATGAATACTAAGGCAAGTAGTGGAGCATTACTAAGGAAGCTCAAAAGAGCTCTGTTCTAAACTCTTTTGTTTTACTAGGTGAAACAAAATGGAATGGAACACAGGTGCGACAACATTGAAAACAGCTCATGACTGCAGTTAGTTCTACTGTCTTTCCATTTGCTGTTGCAAACTCTATTGTGTTACTAAGTGAAAAATAAGTAAAATGTAAGTGAAAAATAAGAAAAAAAAACTTCTCAGGTTCTATTCATAATAAAAGGCTCGAAAGTTTGGCTTGAACTTCAACCTCTCTCAGACAATAATAACGTTCGCCTCCCTCTCGATCTCATTGTGTTCTTGTGCTTCTGCAGCTGTTTGTTTGTTCTTCTTGTTCTTTGTTCTTATTCATTTTCTTGATGTTGCTGTTGTTGTTGTTCTTGTTGTTGTTTAGTTCCCGCCGCCCTGGCACTGCCTACGGCTGCATACGCACCTGAAGTTCCACCATATTGGCGTATTTCTGCTTATAGAACTCGAGCTGATTGGCAATGCTAAAGTGCGGAACATGCGCCTGCAGCAATTTACCGGTTTTGCCCGGCTCCTCGCCATAGATCTGTTGGACAAAGATGCTTCCCGCCTCGGCGGCTCCACTGCCACCAGCAACGCCATCGATCAGCTGCTGGGCGCCGAGCGAATAGCGCGGCTGCTGCTGCTGCTGCAGTTGCTGTTGCTGCTGTTGTTGCTGCTGCTGCTGCTGCTGCTGATGCTGTTGCGGCTCCTGTTTCAGCTGCATCGTCGGTCGCGCTATAAACATATTCTGGCCCATATACTCGATGGCCTGATGCTGCTGATAGGCCGAGGCCGGTGCAGCTGTCACCAGATGCTGATCGTCGGCGGTAACAGTTGCTGCTGCCGCTGTTGTGGTGTTGCTGCTGCTGCTGCTTGTAGTGGTGGCATTGTTGGCAGGCGCTGATGAGACGTTTGCCTGATTTAAATTAATATTATGCTCATTATTACAATTGGCTGATTGGCCAGCTACGTTTGCAGCGGCGGCGGCGGCGGCAGCAGCGGCAGTTGCCACTGCTAGCACCTGCTGCTGCTGTTGATGTTGCTGCTGCTGCTGTTGCTGCTGCTGCTGCTGAACGGTCAGTGTATTGGAATTGGTCGAATTGGTCGATGAAGACGACGACGAATTCTGTACATGCACCTGCACCTGTTTGTATATCTTTTTCTTTTCTCTGACCTTTTTCGCATAGTCGTTCAGCTTTCTCAGTCTTTCCTTCCGCTCCTCCGCCGACTCGCTGGCAATGCGCTGCCTGGCCCGGGCGGCCATCTCAGCCAGCCGTACCTTGCGCTGATCGGCCGTCTCACTGGCCCGATACATGCGCATCCGTTCGGCCAGCTTGGCCAGACGTTTGGATCGCTGATCCGGCGATTCCATGGCCCGTCGCAATCGCTGCCGGGCCGCATTGCGCACCAGTCGCATCGCCCGCTCCAAATCTGATTCATTCTGTCGCCTTTGGCGATTCGCTTCGGCGTTACGCATCAAACGTTTTCGATATTCTTCTTCACTTTCACGCTGACGTCTCTCGCGCATCCTCTCAGCATTGCGGGCCAACCGCCGTTGTCTCGCCTCTGGACTCTCGTTCCAGCGCTGCTGATGTTGATGATGATGGTGTGGTTGTTGCTGCTGCTGTTGTTGTTGTTGCTGTTGGGGCTGCTGTTGCTGTTGTTGCGTATTGCTGTTGCTGACCGAGGAGGTGGGTCCCAGGGGTGTGGGTGGCGGCTGTTGCTTGAGCGAGAGCGGCTGTGTGTAAGCGGGTAATGTTATTTGCAATTGTTGCTGATGAAATTGTTGCTGCTGCAGATGATGCTGTTGCTGTTGCTGCTGTTGCTGAAACTGTTGTTGCTGCTGCTGCTGCTGTTGCTGTTGCTGCTGTTGCTGGTGCTGCTGCAATTGCAATTGTTGTTGCTGATGTGTCGATAGGGGTACCAACAGCGCTGACGGATGCTCGATAAGAAGGCGCGCATTTGGGCCATTTATTGCCAAAAGTGTTGCGTACTGTTGCTGCTGTTGCTGCTGCTGCTGGTGATGGTCAAGTGTTGGTTCGATCTTTATCCCATTGGGATCTGGTTCCATTATTTGGCAAAGCCTGAACAACAATCGAAATTGTCGTCAAATAATTTTCGCTGCTGCTGCTGTTGCTGTTACTTGTGCTACGATCGATTAATGCAATGCCTCCTTTCCAGTCTGTTTTCCAGTCAATAAACAGCGATGATGCTTGTGTCCCCGTCCTTTTGCTGATATCGATAACTGTTGCTACGATTGCTATTGCTATTCTTGCTGTTGTTCTTGTTCTTGTTTTTGTTGTTGGTCGGGCGACAATAACGCTGGCGTTTTGATCGCCGCATTTAACAGCCGTTCTCGTTTTGCTTGCGTTTGCGTTTGCTTTTGCGCTTGCCTTGCTTCTTGTTTCTCGTTATTCGCTTTTGTTTTGTTTGCTGCTTCGCAGTTGGGGTTTTTGTTATATAAAGAGATTGAACCAGAATTATCGTTATCGTAAATCGCTATCGCTCTATACGCACGCACACATGTGTGTGCCAGTATCAGTATCTGTATGTGTGTATCTCTCTATATTGCTTTTTCTTTTGCTTCTTTTTTTATTATTATTATTTTGTGCGTTTTCGTTTTAACAACTTTTGGCTGCTGCTGATGATATTCGCTCTCTCACTCTCTCTGTCGTACTCTCGGTTTTCTTTACCGTCGCTCTCTCTCAATCGGTGTGAATGTTATTTCGGCTTGTATTTTGCGCATCACCTTTTTCTTTTCCTTTTTTATTGTACTTTTTTTTTTTTTTTGCTTGTCAATCAATTTGCAATATGCTTCTAAATGTTGACCGCTGCCGTTGACGCTGCCTCAGCTATTTTTCCTGGCTGCCAGCTCTTCCTCTTATTCCTCTGCACATGCAAAAATGTCGGATGAGCGAGTAGGGGGAGAAAAGAAATGAAAACAACAAATATATTCATACAGATGGCAACAACAAATGGCATTCAAAACGTACGATTTGGTTTGTGTCTCAGCTAAATGAAATTGCGCACCTTTCACTGCGGTTCTCGCCTAGACGCAACTATTCGTGAATTTTTCTCTTTTTCGTCTTATTTGTATTCAATGTTATTGTGCAAAAATGCCGTTGCGTGTTTGCGAATCGCTTTATTTTCGTTTTAGATCAGTTGACTGTATTTTTGTCTTCCTTTTCTTTCTTTTTTTGGTGGCTACTTTTGGTGCGTGCGCACGTTTCTTCTTCTTGCTTGATAGTAAATGACAATTGGCGCCGCCACCGCTGCCGCTGGGCCGTTCCAATGACCATACGACTGACTGACTTCCAGTGCTTTCCAATCGATTTTTCACATGATTATACGCGCACACACACAGCCCCATACACACATTGGCTGCTTGGCTGGTTGGCTGGCACGCTCATACAGACACTCGTACTCACTCAAACACACACACGCACACAAAGCTACGGCTACAGCAAACGGCGGTCTCTATACATACATACACACACGTCTGTCTGTCCGTATGCCGCACATACATACATATGTATATTGTCTTTTATAAATATTTTGATGCCTTTTGCCACAATTGTTGCATCAGTTACAATGCATTTCGTATATTTAACACTTTGCCGCTCCAATTTGTCGGCATTTGTGAAACGCACACAGACGCACACGAGTGCACTATAAATATATTTGTATATTTATATATAGATATATATGTATGTATATGCGTGTATATAATTATATTTCGTTTCCCATATTTCGGCTTTGCATTTAACAATTGTTCATTTTTGCCAAATTGTCTATACTTCACTTTTCTTTAATTGTTTTCAGTTTGTTTTCCCGAATGCTTAAAAAAAAACGCGCTAAAATTGTCCGGCAAGTGAAATGCTCCGCCGTTTTCTGTACCAACGCACACAACAACACATTAAAAAATAAATACAACTGGAATGTTGGAAACTGGATGTGTAGGTGTGTGTATGTATACATGTAGCATCAGGCGATAAACGCGCCGCTGTCCAACAGCCCACAAGCAAAAAAACTATCGAACAACATTGCGCGCAATTTCGATAGGCACGAAGGAAAAGTAGCTAAGTGAGCGCGAACACTCAAAACAAATTGTTTCGTAATTTTCCCAACTACAATTAAATTTTAAGGATCGAAATAAAAAATGCGCTTTTCTTTTTAAAAATTGTGATTGCAACTTTATTCAAGTATTCATTTTGTTTTTCGTTTGCTTGGTTTTGAGTGTTGTTGTTGTTGTTTGTTTGTGTTGTACATACAATATTACAATAACATAAAATGTTTGTTTCATAATTTTACATCAAAACAATTTTCTTTTTCTGGGCACCGGTACAGTGGGGGAGTAATTCAAAAGATAGAGCAAAAAATAAACAATTTGAAATTTCGACTAGAACTTAAGTGGTACGTTTCATATATTATATATACATATATGTATACATATACATATATATATATTTGTTTTGTTTTGTTAAATTTATTTTGTTGCCTTTAATTTTGTTTTGTTTATTACTTGCAGCTGGCGGGTTAGGAAGTGGGGCGGGGAGGCGTTCAATGTTACTATAACAATATGCCATATACATATGTATATATATATATATATGTGAAAGTGTATGCGTGTGTGTGCATGCGTGCTTGTGTGTGGTTTTTAAATATCATACATAATCCTGCATGAATTGTTTATGCACATATGGGGGCACACACCCACACACACACACACACATAGACAGAGGGTTACTTTATATTGAATGTTTGGAATTTGTTTTAATTTTCGCTTAGCTGTGCTTTTTTTCCTGTTGGTTTATTGATTGCAAATATGAAACGTGGCAGCTTGCACAAATGATCGCCAGATGGCTCACCTGTTGCAGCTAGTGAAAAACAAAATGCCTATTGAACATGTATGTGGGTGAGTGTGTGTGTAAAATGCAATTAGAAGACAATTTTGGAGACTCACGCTGCGATTTGCCAGCAATGAGTCACCCTGTATGTAAACGTCTATGTGTGTGTGTGCATATGTGAGCTTGTGTGCCTATGTGGGTGTGTGTGTGTGTTCACATGGGGTTGAAGTTAATTTTTGTTGCTTTTTGCATTTCGCTTTTTAGGGTTTGCTGTTGCTGTGCTGCTTCCACACACACTCACACACCACACATATGTTTGTAGTGTGGGAGGTGCATACGTTTACACATGAATGTGTATGTTTGTTTGTTTGTGTTCGTGTGTGTGTGTGTGTGTATCTATATATTATTGTGTTTTGTGTATATATAACTATTTCTATATATATATTTGTATATACATATATATGTACATACATACATGCACAAACTTATGCATGGGTATGTGTTGTATGTAATAATACACACATATACATGTATGCATATACACATATAGATATATATATATTTATAGTAAGAATATAATGCATGCATTATAAAAATACTTTATTTTGTGTTTTGTTTTTTGCTTTTCCATATTCTTTACTTCATTTTGTTTTGTTTGTGTTTTGTTAATGTTAACTTATAAAAAAAAATTCTCACACTTATTTTTGCTGCCAAAAAAGTGCCTCGTTTTTTTCTTTTTTTTAATATTATGGTTTTCTTCTTTTTATATATTTTATTTATATGTATGTATTTAAATGTTATGCGGCTGTTTTTCCTCTTCTGCTCATTTTACTTATTAACTTTTTTTGTTGTTGTTTTTTCTTCTTTTTCTCCTTTTTGTTAAAGTCAATTCTATGTCAATGTTATATGTATGTTATTTCCATTTGTTTTTGTGTATACAATATATATATATACTATATATTATTCATATCTGTTTTTGTTGTTGGTGTATATATTTATATATATGTATATATACATATATATATAATTCTGTTTCCTACATTCTTTGCTCGTGCTGCTCTGCTCACACACACGTACACACACATGCATAACAGCATATACATATGTAGCTATGCATATGTGCTTCTTCTTCTTCTGATTGCTTCTGCTACTGCTTCTTCTTATGCTTTCTTCCGCATGCTGCTGCTACTGCTACTTCTTTTTTTTTTTGTTTTTTGTTTTTTTTTTGGCGTGTGTTTGCTTGCACATTTCTGATTAGATACCATTTGATTAGATTCTGTGTGTGTGTTTTCGTTTGTATTTTTGAATGTGTGTGCACTTTACTTGCTGAAGCCCGCTTCACAAGCTTCCAATGTTGCGCTCTGATTGGAGCAACGCGCCAGGCACATGCATGTGTGTGTGTGTGTCTCTCTGTGTTTGTCTGATTGGGCTCTGTGTGTAGATTTGCTTCTTCTTTTTGTCTTGTTTTGTTTTTTTTTTTAATAGCCCTTAAGGCGATCCTCGAGCGGCGGCTTAATCACCTTGGGCGCACTGGCCCTGGAGACGCGCATCCGTTCAGCTGCCTTGGCCAGGCGCTTCTTGCGCTCGTCATTTGATTCGCTGGCGCGCCGCAAACGCTGACGGGCGGCATTCTTCATCAGTCTTAAGGTTCTTTGTACTTCGTTTTCGTTTTGCCTGCGTACACGATTCGCCTCCGCATTTTTTGCCAAACGCAGGCGATATTCCGCTTCCGACTCCTTCGATCGCTTGTCCCGCATTCTTGCCGCGTTCCGTTCCAGACGCCGTTCCCGTGCCTCAATCGATTCGTTGCTGCGCCGCCGTGCCGCCTTCTGAGCCCGCGACGATTGGTGGCCAAGTGCGACGCCGGTGACAACGAGGCCGGTGGACAAATGCTGATGCAATGGATGCGGCTGCTGTTGTTGCTGCTGCTGTGGATGTTGTTGCTGCTGCTGTTGTGGATGTTGTTGCTGCTGCTGTTGTGGATGTTGTTGTTGCTGCTGCTGCGGATGCTGTTGCGGAGGATGTTGCTGCTGGGCTGTGTGCTGTTGCTGTTGTGTATGCTGCTGGAAGCTGTTGTCAGCGCCGGTGCCGCCGCCGCTGTTGCGGGCGCTGCTGTTGGCGTTGTTGTTGCTGCTGGCCGAATTGTTGTTGCCGTTGGCGGAGTTATTGTTGGCGCCGCTGTTATTGCCACCGTTGTTGTTGTTCCCGCTACTGTTGTTGTTGTTACCACTGGTGTTAACAGCAGCAGCAGCCGCCGCAGCAGCTGCAGCAGCAGCAACACCTGTACTCGCACTCGCCGCAGCAGCGGCCGCAACTGTCGTATAATTATTGTACTCAATTAAGCCTCGATTGCTTGGGTATAAATGATGCATGGGATTCTCATAGCTGAGATATTCCGGCTTTATGAAGAACGAATCGCGTGCCGTCAGCGGCGCCGTCGGCGAGTTGAGGAAGTACAAACGGCTATGATGATCTGTGGTAATGCTGCCTCCGCCGCCACCCACACCCGCGGACATCGGAGAGGGTGTTTAATTGTCGTTGGCAAATGTATATATGTAGATATATTTTTGATGGCGCCCAAAAATTTTTGTGTAATTTCCTCTTCCTCCTCCGCACACGCACTCTCTCGCTTGCTTGCTCCGTCTTTCTCTCTCGCTCTCGCTCTCGCTTGCCGTGTCGCTTAGTTCCGCTCTCTCGCTCCCTTCTCTCCAACACTCTGTTTTGCTAAATTTTCTAATATTAATTTTTTTTTGCGTATTTTTTTCGCGCGCGCAATTTACACACACACACAAGTTGCAAAGACGGCTCGAAAAAACAATGTGGCGAGTAAACAACAAAAGCGACATATAACTAATCAATATGGAAAAAAAGAAACTTCCAAATTCTGATTGGAAGTCACAACTTCCACGATATACACGCACACACCGACGAACACGCATGCACCAAATAATTCGCATGGAAGTGCTGTTTACTCATTTTGGCTCTGTTATGCTCAGCGCTGACTTCCAGTTGTTGGCGTATGTTGCTTTATAAATGTGTTGCGGGGAGTGCGGCTTTGCTCTATTCCAATTGTCAAAAGATAGCCGGCACGGTTGCAAAGCAATATACACACAGGGCTGTAATTATAAAAATGAATCGATAACAAATATTTTCAAAAATATTTATGATAAGTTGGAGAGAATTACACTTTTATATTGATATTTAGCCATATTTTATTATGGAGATTATAATTTAATTAAAGTGCATCATTTATGTATACATCAAGTCATCGTATTTGTTGGGTTTATTAATTTTTTTTAGATATGTATTTAATTTATCACATTTTACACTGTGTATCTGAAATTTAAGCTTGCTTGTCATTTCATTAATGTATTTTGACAAAACTACAATTTTCGCAAATTAATTATTTTTAACATAAATCTGTTAAAATTTACTATCGATGTTATGGTATCGTGCCGAACAAGCATTACTTACATACATATCGATATACAGAGTTTGTGGCATAAACATCACCAACTGAGCTTAAACGGGCTTAACATGTAAATGCTGTAAGAGCACTTGTGCACTAACATGTAAAGTTCGTAGCAGTGTTTTTATTGGATAGGTGCTGCAAGAGCAAGTTGCGGCGTTGACATCACAAGCCGCATGTGTTGTCCAAAAATACAGTAAAAGTTAAATTGTATAGATAACGGTCTACAAAATTCATTGTTGAAGAAAAATTAAACAAACAAGTGTGAAACCCAAAAAGCTATTTACCATTTATCGGGTGTTACTCGTGAGCTTAGCAATTGTGACGTCACTAGCTGCACATGCTTCGCACTCTCAGAGCGCGCTGCTTAACTGCTTAGGGCAACGTTCCACCTTGTCAGTGCATTTGTCATGTGCTGATGTTTTTGGTGTTGGGTTTTTTTATTTTTGATTCTTTTGTTTTGTCTTGTCAGATATTTGCCGTGAGCGGACGTCTTCTGTTTAGCGCTGCGCTGCGTCGCAGTTTGCGTAAATTGACTTCAAAACAACTGAACATAACTGTAATCAGCAACAGCGCTTTTTTTGAATTGTGTTTAAAACGGTTTGTCAATGCGAATCGTGAAAATTCATTCATTCATTAATTAGTGACAAGTTTGTGAGCGTGTTTATTAAATATATTTATTTAAATAAAATCAATTTTTTTTTACTGTTATTTTCTGATTGCAAACAAAATGTGAAATTCGGCAAAGTGCAGGTGCAAAAGATTTAAAAATCATTAATGAAAAGAACGAATTCAACAAAATTTATGTAAGCACCTTAAAGAAATACGGCACATAAAATAAATTTTAATATATGAATATCAATACATGTACATGCATACATACACACATATGTACATACATACAATACGAAACGAACATGAACAATAAAAAGCAACTTTACACATTCCAATTTGATTCTCTGCTTGTGTGAAAAACTAATAAGTAAAAAGAAACGGAGAAGTAGCAGCAGCAGCGGCAACAACAATACAACTAATAATAATAATAACAATAACAACAACAACAATAGTACCAGCAGCGTCGGCAGCGGCAGTGGCAGCGGCAGAAGCATAGGCACGGCAAAGTAGTAGTAGAAGAAGAAAATAAATAGCAATTTCGACTAAATAAAGGTATGTATGTATTTAATATATGCGCGCTAGTATGTGTGTGTGTTACGTTTACTTTACATACAAACACTATATTGAGTTATAGATATAACTGCCTGTCTGTATGTGTGCATATTCGTTATTAGTTTAACTCTTCAATTTATTTATTGTTATTATTACTGCCATCGTTTGTATGTATGTGTGCGTGAGTTTGTAAATGTGCTGTTGCTGCTGCCGCCTGTCGTATTTGTATCTTTCTGTCTCTTTCGCTAGTTCTTATTGTTGTTTGCCATTAACTATGCTCACTTGAGCTGAGCCACTGGAATAGTTACGTTAAATCAATGCGTGTGTGTGTGTTTGTTTGTGATTTAGCTTGCGGCAGAGATTACGTTGATAATGCCAAGAGTATTTCTTTTTTTCTGTGTGCATGTATTTATTTATTGTTCTCATAGATATTTATACACCCAGAGAGAGATAGAAATGCATATGCATGTATGTATGTATAAATTTAATTAAGTTTAATAATTGCAGTAAATTTTCAATTACGATTCAATTTGATATACAATTCTGCCAGCTCTTATATTTTTCGCATTTTCTCTCTTCTTTTTTTTTGCATTTCTTTTTTGAGTCTTGTTTCAGTTTAATGACCTCGCATTTTCATGCTTCTTGTAGCTAATAACTTTTTTACATTGCGCCATTTTGTCACGTCTTTAAATCTAACGAACACACGCACACACATACACATAGGCATATTGACATTTAGGCTAGGCATATGCATCGATTAATATAATCGATTAATCAGGCGCAGCTGTCAGCGCATATCTAATGCCAGCAATTGGAATCCATTGGAATGCATGTGTGAGGGCGAAAGAGACAGATTTAATAAGATTACGTTTGCTGTTGTTGTGGCTTTCCTTTCCTGCTGCTTCAGGTCTGCGCTGTCATCCCAATTGCAAATCTAGTTGGGCCGATAAGAGTGCAGCCTCTTTAAAAGGCGCACGCTCAAAGGCATTTTCAGCATCTTTTAATGATCCTTTGCCCTGCCTTTGTCTGGCTGCCAGCAGCAGCAAAAAATATCGCTTGGCATTTTACGACACATGCAAAACTTGCTATTTAACATAACCATATCCATTTCCAGACTCTGCCTCACAATAACACACATACACATTCATACTAGCATACATACATACATAGATGTAACAGAGTATCATTAAATGCAGATCTCTATAAAAGCATAAAAAATACATTGTTGTTGTTGTTGCTGTGGTTATTGCGTTCGCTTCAAAACGAAACCAAAACCGAACCAAGCCAAAGCCAACAACAACGGCAACTACCTATGCACATGCATACATTCACAAACATGCATACTCGCACACTCATTCACTCACACGCACACATGCATACATAGCCATAGCAGCAATCCATAATAATCTTCCCGTAATTTATAGTCCAAGACAATTTATGTAATTTACAAATACCAAAAATGAAAGAGACAGCAAATTGACGGAATGCGCACGAATGAGCGGGCGAGAGCGAACGAGCAAAGCAAACGCTGAGAGTGCAATGCAACTGCAACTAACGATAATAACAATAACTGAAAAAAATATACGCAACAACAGCAACGACAGTGTACTAAATAAACAATTCAACAAATTTGATCCGAGGCGAACACACACACATATATGTACGTATGCATATAAACACACACACATACAGAGAGGAAAAAAAAAACATCGTCGACTCGCACACGCATATCAAAATGCATATGAAAAAAAAAGAAAGAAAAATATGTGTAAGAAAACGTATAAAACAACAACAGTAAGTGCAGCAGCAGCGGCAGCGCTGCAAAACGGCTGAACTGAGCTGGCTTGTTGGTAGGACAGGAGGGGGCGGGTGGGCGCATTCAAACAAACAGCAATGCTGACAGTGACTGCGGCGGCAACTGAGACGGCGGCAGCAACGGCGACGGCGGCGCGTATACAGAAAATGTCGTTTGTTTTTGTTTTTGCTTCTCAAGTTTTGTGAACGCATAAAATAACAAGTAGAAGAAAAGGAAAAAGAAGTAGTCATAGTAGGAGCCATAGCAATAATGCACCACAACGAAGCCCAAGTACACTAGAAAATAATTTTTATTAAAAAAAAAAAAAAAACAAATATATTTATATTTAGTTTGTTATGAAAATAAAAAAAATAAACATGAGATAAGATCAAAGTAACTTTTTCTCTATACATAGCTTATCAGCATGCATGTCAAAGTGATTGTACACACTCGTAGCTCAGAAGAGTATACACCAAAGGTAGCAATACAACAACAGAAATAACTAGAGAAAAATTATAAAACTTGCACAAATACTAGCGCAGAAAGACACTGACACACAGAAGCAGAGAGCAATGCAGACAGCCAGGCTCATGCATTCGCACACACACATACATACATACATACAAACACATGCGGTAATTGCATTTATTACACTCTTGCGCTCTCTTTTCTTTGCGCCAAGTCTCTTTTAGTTGCGCTCTGCGTTTGCTCCCGCTCCCTCTCCCGCTCTCGCTAAGAACGAAATGCAGCGAATAAAGTAATAACTTCTTAGATAAAGCATCAAATGTGTTTTGTTTTCTTCTGTCTTCTTTTGACTTTCTATGTTTTCGACATTATTGTTATTGTTGTTGTTGGCGCTCCCTGGAAGGGCATTCGTGTTGCGACTTTTGTGCGAATGCGAATGCGAATGCTTTTGCTTGCGGCTTAAAACTTTGCATTGCGTTGCATTAATGATGTTGAAGATGACGAAGACGCTGATGATGATGATGATGATGATGATGTTGATGGGGCTGAGAACTGGGTGTAGAGTTATACAAAGCCAAGCACTTACATATACACACACACACACACACAAACAGTTGCATTCATACATACATATATAGCAGCATACATAGGTGAGAGGACTTGCTGGTTTGGCATCATTTATGGCGCTGCCTGGACTGTTGTCCGCCCCTCTCCATCTCTCGCACGTTTGCTCTCTTCGATTACCGTAACCCCACTCTTCGCCTACAGAACACAAACTCGTCTATGCGAATGCTTTTGTTGTTGCTTTGCTTTTTATGCGCTTTATTCTGTTCCCAGTTTTCAGTTCTCAGTTCCCAGTTCCCAGTTCTTAGTTCCCACTTCTCACTTCTGAGTTGTCGCTCTGTGCGCTTATCTTTACTGCCGTTGCCGTTGCCGTTGCCATTGCCAAGTTTTTGTCTAGTTTTTGGTTTTTTTTTTTTTTTTTCATTCCTTTTCCTTCAACTTTGTCTTGCGTCTCGCTCTGACGCTTTAGCATATTTGTGTGTGTTCCTGCAGCGCTCTCCTTGAGTCTTTCTACCTTCCTTTGAGCACACACACCCACCGCCCACACGCATCTTAGCTTGTTTCTTTCAATTTCGCATACCCAGCTCCTTGGCAGAGTCAAGCAATGGGGTACATTGGCTTTAGGATGATAGTTTGCTCAGATTTGTGATAATAAAATTCAATATTGATAAGTGATTTTGAAGTAAAACATATTATTGTTCAGTAATACGTTAATAAATTTGAATATTTAAAATGATCAGAGATAATTAATTGTTATTTTCATTTCATGCATAAACAATATAGATTTAGATTACAGGGTATTTTGTTAGTCTCTCGATGAGCAGCTCGTTAAGTTTGCTTTGCTTTTTGTGTTTTTGTTGTTTTTTTTTTTCCTTGTGCAACTTTAACTAATACTTCTTCTTCTTCTTCTTCATTTGCTGTTACTTCTACTTCATCCCATTTGATGTGCCTTGCCTTGCCTTGCTCACATCCTCTACGTGGGCATCATCATCATCATCATCATTATCATTGGATTTATCATAATCGTCATTATCGGCAGTTGTTTATTTTTGCGACTTGCTTTAGCGCATTCCTTTGCCTCCCCCACCCCCAAACTTGGGTACACGATATTAATCTATATACACGCACACATATACATATGCATATGCATGTGTATGTGTGTATGTATGTATGTACCTTTGTGTTTATTCATCTCTCTCGTTCTATTCCACTGTATCGCTCTCCCTCTGGCCCTCTGTTCCTTTCTCTAATTCCCATTATTCAATTTGCATTTGTGGATATATCCATTTTCGATTTCTGTGAATTTCGCAATAATTTTGTTTTTGTTGTTTTGCGAAACAGAAGCCGTTACTTATTTTTGTATATTCTGTTACCTTATGTACTACGCGGAAAATGTTTACACAATTTGGTGCAAGTGCCACCAATCAAGCGATTAAATATCATTCAATATGTATACAAATATCTAGATGTTTAGAAATATACATATGTATGCATGTATGTATTTATATACATATGTATGTAGCATATTGCTTACGGTGCAAAAAAATGTATCTTTGAATAACATGCGTAGGTTTTTCTTGTTCTTGTCTATTTGATACTTGTATACATATGTATGTATGTAGATAGATATATTTGTATATATAGAGATATCTTTATATTGGATACTTGTATATACAAATGAAGACATACATATTTGTATATACAGAGATATCTCTATAAACGTGTTTATATTATACTAAAATCAACTCCGTTTGAGATCTGAAATTGCCTATGATGTGCACTATTGAGTCAACATTTCTATAGATCGAACCACTTGGCTTACTAGATCTAAAGCACTCTAAAGTCACTTAACTGCAGTGATTAATAAAAGAATGTGTTCGAGCAGCAGCAATTTGTTGACTTGGGTCCGAATATCACTTATCTATCGAGTGAAAACATCAAAACTTTAAACACAGCTGTATTCAACGTTTAATTAATTTTATCAATAAAAAGAAAACACCTGGTTATTAGTTTAAGTGCTACAACTGAGAAATCACGAAACGGCACAAAGACTTCGCACAGTCAACAATGAAAACAGTCTTCAAAATTAACAACAAATTTTTTTTGTAATACTTTGAAATGCACTGTGATTGGAGTTTGTTACATAAAAGACTGGATTGGACTGCTGCTCTTTAAAAAGCACCATTAGTTGGTATTTAGTATGCATTCTTAGAACTATGGATGGTGAAAATCATTTACATTGAATTCATTTGGATAAGCACAGGTGCACTATTATAATTTGTTTGAGTTACCAATTCTTTCCCTCTCTATTTCTCTCTATCTGTCAATTTCTTTTTATTGGCTTTACGCCGTATCTTCAGAAACCTCATCTTATGAAAAACAAATACATATGTATATCTATAGTTATACATATGTATATAGATATGTAGATATATACATGCATAGCTGTTTAGCTGCTCTTCCGGATCCATTGTTATAGCAAGTAGATGTGAATTATCATACAGATTGTGTGCTCATTGTCGTGAGTTTGTAAATTACCACGCATATGTCGAAAAGATCGAAAAGGTATAGCTTCAATGGTACAATATATACAAACATACATACATAGAAATCTTACATGAAGTTAGTTATAATAATTATAACCATATAGTGGTATACATGGTGTCAGCTACAATATACATATGTAAATACATATATTATGTTGTACCTTGCTTATATCATATTTAAAAATCTACATACAAATGTACATATACATACATAAATATGTATTTCCAAGTTTATTCAAAATATACATTCGCACTTTGAATTAGTATTTTCCAATTGGAACCGTGTAATTGCCATTCCCTATTAAAATTTCATTCTATATTCATATACATACATCTGTATATGTATATTTTGTATTTCTATTTTTAAGCTCAATGGTAATTAAAGAATGAAGTAAAAACATCAAGAATAATAAACAAACTTTTTCTTCGAAGCTTGAAATTAAAATTCTAAATTTCTGCATAATTCCAATTTATGCTAATTTCCAATTGGAAGCGACCCACACTCATTGTGTTTGTATGTGTATGTGTGTATTCACATCTTTATGCCTTTTGCATTCCTCTTTCTACATTTGCACAATTTTATTGTACTCAATTTTTGCGCATTTTATGGTTACAGGGTATAAGAAGAAGCGCGCACTATTTCTTTCAATAGATACTTTCTAAGTCAACGACAGCGTTTAGAATTTATCTAGTGCGCGTACACACAAAGGCACAAATACATATGTACATATGTATGTATGCGAGTATGAGCCACGGCATACATACATATGTGTAAGTGTGTGCGTTTGTGTAAATCTATCAGTGCGCCAACTTCGTCTTCGTTCTTGGCGATGTGTGTTCCTCAAGTCTTCAGTGCTGTTGCTCTCTCTGTCTCTCACTCTCTTACATTTGGTCTATATGTGTGTGTGTGTTCGTGTCCGCAAATATGCTCACACAAATATTAAATTGTACGTACCATTGCTTTTCGCCCCCTCTCCTCCCCCACCCATCCTTTGTGTCTTCGCAGCCGCTCACCGTCCGTGCGTTGTATAAATTTTCTGTGGAACTGTACAATAGCTAAATAAAAAAAAAAAAAAAAAAAAAAAAAAAAAAAAAAAAAAAAAAAAAAAAAA